GCGCGTACCTTCACATTCCGAAGGAGTTAAGATCGAAATTGGACGCAAAGTGCAAAAAGTTGTATCATGTCGGATACACGGTAAATGGATACCGTCTTTGGGACTGTGAAAAACGAAAAATTGTTAGTGGAAGAGACGTTGTGTTCGATGAAAACTTGTTGTTCGGAAAACAATCCCAAGTGGAAGTGAGTGTTCCAAAGACTGTAGACCTAGGTGTTGACGAACTGAATGAACAATCAGTGGTTCCGGAAGAAGAAGAAGAAGTAAACAGTGATAACAGCAGTTGCCATGAATCGGATTCTCACGACGATGCGCAGGTTGATGAGCAGCACATCTCAGCTAGGCGAAGCGGGCGTGCACGACGAGAACCGGCGTGGTTCGATTGCTACGAAATGACGTGCGGTTTGGCTATGTGTGCTGAGGATTTTGTGGAAGATCTGCCGACCACGGTGGAAGGTCTGAAGCAGCGTAGTGACTGGCCGAAATGGAAGTCTGCCGTCGCTGAGGAAATGGAGTCGTTGGTAAGGAACAACACCTGGACGTTGACGTCACTGCCAAAAGGTAGGAACTTGATTGATTGTAAATGGGTTTTTAAAATAAAAAGGAGTGGGTCTGGAGAGATCGACCGCTACAAGGCCCGTTTGGTAGCAAGGGGATTCTCGCAACGGAAAGGGCTCGATTATGAGGAAACCTACTCTCCTGTTGCTAAGCTCACTACATTGCGGACACTCTTGGCTATCGTGAACCACAGCGGAATGCATCTTCACCAGCTCGATGTGAAGACGGCGTTTTTAAATGGAACAATCCAGGAGGATATCTACATGCGCCTGCCCGATGAGTTTGGTGCTGGTTCGCTTGTGGCCAAGTTGCAAAAATCATTATATGGCCTTAAGCAAGCATCAAGAGCATGGAATGCTCGATTCCATGATTTCGTTACTGGCTTGGGATTTAAGCGCAGTGGAGCAGATAACTGCTTGTACGTTGCTAAGATACAGAACGAGATCGTCATTCTTGTAATTTACGTGGATGATATGCTTATTGCATGCCATTCTCTAGATGTTCTGGTCAAAATAAAAAGGACATTGGGCAACGAGTTCGAAATGACGGATCTAAAGGAAGTCAGCACGTTTTTGGGATTAACGATTGAACGCAACAAGAAGGACGGTGTACTGAAAATCGGTCAAAGGTTGTACCTGAAAAATCTTTTGAGCCGTTTCGGTATGAGCGAGTGTAAACCTGTCAAAACACCGTTGGCTACTGGTTTGAAGCTGGAGAAATGTACCGATACGACGAAGTTCACTCAACACCCTTATAGAGAACTTGTAGGTTGCTTGATGTACGTTACAGTCACTTCGAGACCCGATTTATGTCTGGCGGTGAATTATTTCAGCGGTTTCCAGAGCTGCGCTACCGATGAACACTACTGTCATCTCAAACGTGTTCTACGGTATATTCAGGGAACTCTAGATATGAAGCTGATATATCGTAAATGCAAGGATGCAAAGCTACTAGAGGGATTCGCCGATGCTGATTGGGCGGGAGATATCGTCGACCGTAAGTCTTTGTCAGGATACGTATTCAAGATACGAGGGGCTACCGTATCGTGGTCCACAAGGAAGCAGGTGTCTGTGGCGTTGTCGTCGGCTGAAGCCGAATACGCTGCTCTCACCATGGCGGTTACCGAAGCGATTTGGCTACGAGATTTGCTGCGAGATCTGGAAGAACGTGTTGCTGATCCAACGATAATATACGAAGATAACCAGGCGTGCATTCGTGTAGCTGAAAGTGATAGGCCGACCAGGCGATTGAAACACGTAGATGTGCGTTTTCATTTTGTGAAGAACGAAATAGATGCTGGAACTGTTCGTCTATTGTATGTGCCATCGGAGGATCAAGTAGCAGACGCTATGACGAAAGGGTTGCCTAGGATCCAGTTTGAAAAACTTAGATATTTGCTCGGGTTATTGGATTAACGGGGGGTAATAAGAGTGCATACAAGTAACCAACCATCCCTCGCCTTACCTTTCTTTATTACATACTTTGATCTTGAACGCCATGCATTTTTGGCGTACCTTTGTATTCAAATACAGATAAATAAAGCTCACTCGCTATTAGTACTCTGAACGATAAACTTGTGTTTTCTTTGTTCTCTCTGGCAATCGGTAGTTCCTCATTCCGCGTATTATAACCTATTGCGCCGCTCTTTATGTTGTGTCGTATAAATTTCGCTCAGATTGTGTGAATTACATAAGAATCTTATGAAAGCACAAAAAATAATAAAAACTCGCTTCATAAGATGGATGTTATGAAAATCATTTGCTATTTTTGCCAGAGTGTAGTAAGAAAAAAAAATACATTCAAGCATGGTCATATCATAAAAAAAAACATAATCATATACCTAGTCAGTTGCTCCTGCCGGCGAAAAACAGAAGAAAACTTTCGACGAAGCGCATCAAGGGTGAGATGAAAGTCGAAGAAAGATGCAACTCTGTTGAATACACTCTGCAGTCCGCAAAGCGCACCGTATGCTCCATAATTTCAGCGACGGAGAGACAGCCTTAGCATGAGGTTGTTACGAAGCGGTCGGAGTTGAACATTCATGCCAATATGCCTCAAAATAGCCTCGCAATCTGTCCTTGCGTCCCTTCTAGTCCGGAGAGGTTCTAGGTCGATAAGTTGACAACGGCTTTCGTAACCGGGTAATCGAAACGGATCATTCCACGTCAATCTACTTAGCGTAAAACGAAGAAAGCCATGTTGAACATATTCGATTCTTTCGGCACCGTTGTTGTAGTTTGGGTTCCAAACCGCTGAACAATACTCAAGCCGATCATTATTACCAGTAGAAAACAAATAAAACTACAATATTTTCTTAAAATTCATACTTTTGGTTAACTTTTATGCTTATTATAGGGTTTGAAAAATTATAGTTTTACATTATGACGGTTCATTGAAAATTCCGAATTAAAAAAAAAAAAAAAAAAGAATTGATGACACATGATTTTGAACGATTTTGGTGAAGGTAAAAAAAAAACCATAAATAAGCATATGTATCGTATTTTATAAGTCATCGGAGTTTTTATGTCATAAAATTAGACCCCCCCCCTCCAAACCAAATCCTGGCTACGTGCCTGATCTGTCATCTAGTGATTATCGAACTCTCTTTACCCAGCGATGCAAATCGATAACAAGAAGATTATAAATATACATCGATGGCAATCTTTATTGTTCTTTGCCAAAGTTTGTTACCAACAACTTGCGAGAAAGTAGTCGACTAGACAAGAATTTGGATGGAAAGTGACGGACGGAGAAATAATAAAAGAAATTTTGATTGCTGAACGTAAGAAATCCTCGCCACGTTTTGGTCGTAAAAAAACGAAGACTGTGTTGAACCCCACCGCTGGTGATTCCCGGGTGTAGCCCGTCGCTGAAGCCGGCTAGGATCGAGCCCTCGGACTATCGTCGACCAAAGACGACCAAAGCTGATCATCAACTCAACAGAGGTAACCAAACTACAATAGTTTTCTCTCTCTCTCTCTCTACGCATGGGCCCCACCGAAGCGGACTTTTAAATAAAAAAAAAATATAAATTTGTATAAGCTTATTTTCTGTGTTTGTGCCTTTTTTCTTGGAGAGACCGTCTTGGTGTCCTGTATTGTTCCACCTATTATTCTCGTGTTGATTCGCTGTATGTGTGATGTCCTCCCGAAGCAAGTGACTGTAGCCGACCCTGAAAAGAAACCCATTAAATGAGCTAGCTGTTTATAACATAAGTAAACAGTATAAACAGTATAAGTAAACTTATAACATTATAAGTTCAACGTTATGATGGTATCAGTATTCAAATATTTTTAGAGGAATATTTATAATGAAAACTAAAGTCCTTGTGACGTATCGAAATGGGAAGATATTTAGTATGGCATCTTTATAGACACAGAAAAAAAAATAATTTTAATATCACATCAAAGTGGATGCACTTCAATCGTTTCGAAAATATGGTGTAATGTTACTTGCCAAAAGGAACAAAATTATCATTAATACAGTGCATGAAGTGACATTACGCTGTTTTTACTGCATTTCTTTATTTTTGTGGCCATAAAAAATACATGAGATTTTTGACATGATTGAAGTGCAACCTGTTGGATGTAATATTAAAATTAATTTTTTGCTGTGGATTACTATAATGCAACCGATAAAGAAATTGTAAGTATCGATCAATAAAGGTTTTTAAATATAGTCATCGAAATCAAAGAAACTTAAAACTAAAGAATTAAATCTTAATTTTTGTATAAAGAACTTTGAAGAAGTTTCACGAATGGTTGGTCGGGTGAATACAGTGAATGTATTTACCCAGGAAATTTCCGTTCTAAAATCATGAAACACATGTGTTATTTTTTTTTGTATTAATAATTTATGAATGTATGTGTATACTGTTGATTCTGATTGAAGAATATTTCAAAAAGAAGTAGAATACAAATTTATTTACCCCTAATCAATCTGATCTGAAATATGATAAACCCAAAAAATCCAGGGATTTTAAATCATCACTTAAAAATTTATCAATTCAATCAAAGTGGTAGAACAAAATCTGTGTAGTTTTTATTTGCCAAACAATTGTATACATAATAGAAGACACCAAAACGTGACCTCACGTGAAGGTCGAGGACTCATGAACCTCATCCCGGAAAAGTCACGAATGCATGTTCCTCCCTTATGCAGTTATCTCTTTTGAATCTGAAAGATCTATCTAAATCTGCTTGATCATACTGACTGTATCCAGCGTAAACTGTTGTTACATTATTAACATATTTTAGAACTATCAATACTGTCCATGGTTTATTCTAAACTACCAGTATCTCTGAGGATATTGCTGCGGGTAGTAGTTCTGCTGTTGTGGATAGTACTGCGGATACTGCTGATTCTGTGGGTAGTATTGTTGCTGATTCTGTGGGTAGTATTGTTGCTGATTCCATTGGTTTGTATTTTGCTGCTGCGGTATGCTTCCTCCTGCACACTGTGGTACATTTGCTGGCCAGTCACACATATCCTTTTGCAAGTTGTAAACCAGTCCCGCTTGGCACGTCTCAATGAATGACAAGCCAGCTGGTTGACAAATGGCATATTTGGTACAATCACTGCCTACGTAAATCTTTGATCCTGCCATCTTTCCAGCACATTCCTTAAAAACAAATATAAACCACTATTAGGATACCTCTGCCGATAGTTTAATGTTTTTCTTATCTTACAGGAACTACTCCGTATGGAACGTTGGCACCAGCTACAACGGTGACCAACAAGAGGGTAAGGGCAACTTTCATGGCCATCATAATGTATTGTGCTTGTTCGTTTTGTACTGATTGAAAATTGGAAGGCAATTCAGCTTTTATAGTTTGGTCTTCCATCTGCAGTGTAACGAGAACATGAATGTCTACTGGAAAATGTAATTTGAAAATTGATTTAATCAACTAGATACCAACTCCACAACTGCTATCTGTCGAAGGAGAGTAATTGAACCAATTGAAAGCGTTCAGATATCTGTTTACATAGACCATGTTCATTAGACTGATGGATAATTTTAAATTTTCGCTCAACAGTGCTCAAACAGTTCAAAATTGGGTCCTGATTAGTCTTTCAACATTTGAACTCATTTAGTTTGAAACTGAAGTTCATATCTAGCTAACAAAGCACCATATTACTTTGCTTTAAAAAGTGATTATTTTTTTAATTTATTTATTTATTTACTTGTTATCATTCGGATTTTTTTGTTCGTCGCCTTAATGTAACGTGGGTAGATCATCTTTTCGTGGTACGTTACGGGATGTAATATCTGCCACCGATTCCTAGTCCTGACTACTTCAAACTAGGGAAACAGTCTTTTAAATTTGTCGAACCTCTTAACGGAATCCCTTTATGAAGAGCTTTGAGAGTGGTGTTGAGTACTTGGCACTGATGAAGTCTGCAAGTAGTAGACGAAATACGCGTATCTGTCAAAATATAAGCAATTATAAAGGAATTTAAAGGAAACAAACCGACACACTCAAAGCTCTTTATAAGGGGAACAGGATTTTTCAGTAATCAAAGGAACACATCTCAGTCCTTGCTATTTTTGATGCCTTGTTGATAGTGACAAGACTCGGCTTTATCCACCGAGGATGATCTTGAAACAAGGAAAAAGTGAGTTAGTTAGTCTTCAATTATGTGATTCCTAATCTTCTACTCGTTGTTCCCTAGTTTGAAGTGGTTAAGACTACCCAAGTAACAATTCAAGCTGAATTTTAAGAACGAAAGTTGATTATTGGTTGATTTAAGTAGTACGAAGCTGATTAACACCAGGCTGAACATACAGTTGATTAGTGGTGAATGAAACGAATTGTATCCGCATAATTCAACCTTAGTAAGTTAGCTGATCTAAAGACTGAACAAGTCTTATTTAAGCTTAATTCTACTACGCAAACCAGCAATGCACTACAAATATTTTGATAGCCTGATACAATAATATGAATTTATTGCACAATATTGTTAAATGTCGTCAATGTTACTTGTTGCATTTCTGACATTTCAGTTATTCTAAATTCACTGCCTACCTTTCTAATTCCAAGCAGCACCAGCAGTAAAGATAAGACAAGAGGAGCTTTTTAAGAATAGCTCCACCTAGAAGTGGACTGCGACGACGTCGGAAGTATTAACATTTGTATTCCTGTGTGTTCACCACTTTATATTGCACTTAGTTTTCATACTGAATTTCAAAAATATAATTCAATTATAACACTAAAATAGCATCGAAATACATCATGAACTTGTGTCCACACTGTGTTTGCTGCACTTGAAATGAGAGGAATGTTTTACTGTCACAATTTATTGTTTACAATTCTGCATTGCTGTTTAATACTCTTCCGGTTGCTATTATTCAACTTAATTTTGACGTGCTTCAAGTTAATGATCATACCTTCTGCCACAAATATGCTTATGTGGTCAAGTGGGTATAGTTGACGCCTGTGATCAGTGACTGCCGGTTCGAGTACCGAAATGTTAAAGTAATTTTTAGACATATAATAACAATATAAATATGTAAATCCAATTAGTCAGCAACATTCTAAAGTAGTCTCATAAAAAGTATAAGATATGAAGCAGTCTTCCATTATTATTCTTTTTTTAATAAAACATGAAGGCTGAACAAGGGTTGGAAAAGACTGTTGGTTAATGCCTTGAAAAGCTTATAATTTATATTGCTGTTAAGCTTTGGGCTGATTATAGATGTTTAAAAGCTGAACAAAGGTTAAAGTGGTCTATGTACAATAATTATGCAAACTAAGACTGAATTAAAATCGTTGAAAGAACACTTGATAAGCATCAATTTGTTACTTGGGTAGGGTTCTGATGCATGGTCATTATCGGTCTCATACCTTAGTTTTGTTGCTAAGGAATCCAATTTTGACTGACAAAGAAGCGCGCCTTTGGAGGGTGTTTCAACACTCCGAAGGGTATAAATAGCGGGACCTTTCAGTTAAAGTTCGATCCTTGTGATAAATGCATTGACAACTGTAAAAAAAATCGAATACTTCACCATTTCTCAATAGTGATGGAGTAATACGAGTAATACCATAGAGATAACTCTAAGACCAGAAGGTCCCGAAGAAACGTGCTCAATCGCAGTAGTGTTAGGTCCCGAACAAAGAAAAAAAAAACAAGGGAAGAAATATGAACTCTACAGTATATATAATTATATATATAACATATAATAATATAATAACATATAATTCAATCAGCTCGATTGGACATCCATCATCTGAAGCAATCCTCGTCGTCGTCGTCGACGAAATCAAAAAATACAGGCAGCACAATCCTTACAATTTAAGAGCAATGGAATATTACTCACCAAATATCATAATATCGAATCTTGCTCGATTCATCAATCCAATTCAGTCAGTCTACGCTTAAATGTTGACACAATTGAGTTGAAGTCGAAGAGGATGTAGACTTCGTTGAACCTAGCCGACATAAAGTGGACAGTATCATCAAGTCCGTTCCTGGGCTCAAGCAGCAAAAAGTTCCGTTGGCAAACAATCGATCAGGATTATAAAAGACAAAACTTAATAATGATTCGAGTCACTGATGTCTTGTGATTATATTTGGCGTAGCTACTGGGGTGCCAAGGGGGCCAGGCCCCCTCCAGGATTATCTTGACCCCCTCCCCAGAACTTTTGGTGTTTTTTTTATTCACCGGTATTTTGTCAACCTTGTCAAGTTCGATGTTACTAATCTTTTTTTAAAGTCCTTTATGTTGACTACTTTTCTTACATTCTGGACTAGAAGAAGAAATTTTGATAAATTATATTATATCGATATTTAATCGATGGCATAATAAGACGTCTACAGGATCTAAAAATTGGTAATGAACCCAGGGATTTTTCTTTAACTTCTGGGAACTTCAAGGACTTCTAAGAAGTTCAGGGAACATGGAAATGTTGGGAACTTCAAAAGTTCTGAAAACTACGTAGAAGTGGTAAATTTATTTGAGTTCGGGAAGCTTCGTAGAAGTTAAGGGAACGTTATTTTATTTCAGGGAAGCTCATTATTGATTGGAAACCTCTACATAATTTCAGGATACTTTTTTGGAGCCTCATGGCCTTGGAATAGTTAAGGAAATTACGTACAAATGCTAGAAATTTCGTTCGTGGAACTTTGCGGAAAATCATCGAGAAACATAAAAGAAAAACAAAGTTTGTAGAAGTTTTGCGAATTTCGTAGCATTTTGAGGAGCTAAACTTCAAATTGTTTGTGCTAAGTCAGTCTCGCACTAAATGATTTCAAATTGTTGGAGGCTAATCAGGACCTGATTTGGAACCGTTTGAGTACTGAGGAGTAAAAATTTAAAATTTTGCATCAGTCTAATGTTCATTGTTCATATTGCATGCTTTACACAGCGTATAGTATATCCGGCTGCTGTGAACTGCTACTGTGTTCAGTGCTGAGGTTTGATTGTCATTGACAGACTTTCGCGCGATACTGACAAAATTGTTCGTCACGTAGTCACTGGCAGACTTGATCCTTAAAAAAAACCTTCGTCAAAATCTCATTGATTTTTTCGTCAAAGACATAGATTTGCCTGGTATATTTCTGTGTCACATTATTGTTATCCAAGCAGTTCAGACCCATTGGGGTAAGAAAGCAGTCACGCTTACCACTACATCACCGGCGCCGGTTGCAATCACTTCGGGTTTTCAGTATGTTATTAAGCACCATTTCAGATTTATTTTCGAAAAATTTCAGCCTAAAATATTTCCGCTGTTGGCAGCCCTGCAAACAGACAGATGCAGGCGATGTTTTTGTCGCTTGCGGGACACCGTTGTCAGCAGTGAAACATCGGATAAAAGATAATTTCTAATCCCGAAGCTCTACTTTCAATTACCATAGAACTGATTGGGAGTAATATCGAACATTCATGGAATATAGATTTGATGCAAACATTCTTTTGCAAACCAAAGATGAAATTAATTATGCTCTTGAATCTCTGACTACTTCTATAGTTGAGGCAAGAGCTGCCTCAGTACCAAAATGCGAGGTTAAATTCGATTCAATTATAATAGAATAGACGACGATCTTCAGCTCTAGATCCGTCTTAAAAATGTCCGTTGGAGACAATATCAAAGAACACGCGATCCTGCCATGAAAGTTATATGGCGGGATTTGCAAAAACAAATTAAAAGGCGATTCGCTGCTCTGATGAACAAAACTTTTGGAAATAACCCTAATAAAAATAACCATAAAAGAGAGCTTAACGACGTGTTCGGGGTATCATCCAAATCATAGTGGGATAGTTTACCCATCCGGGATACAGTTCGTATATGGTATTTGCTTATTAGGGAATGTTTCTAAATTAGACCCGAGTTCCAAATTCTTTTGGAAAAATCTCAAAAGCCTTTTCTAGCGCTTAAATAAGGTGGTAAAATGTTGATCAAAAATTCGGAAAAGCTCAGAAACTTGCTAAGCAATCGAGAGTTCCCATAATTCCAGTTTGGGTCTTACTAGTCCTATTGAGAATCAGGTTGTTCGGGATTATCTGAATATTTTCGAAAGTTTCCTAATATGAAAGCTCCAGGTGATGATGGAATTTTTTATATCCTCATCAAAAAATTCCCAGAGAGTACCTTGTCTTTCTTAGTAAAATTACTTAACAGATATTTCCATTTGGCATACTTTCCTGATAAATGGAAAAATGCAAAGGTTGTTCCTATTTTGAAGGCGAATAAAAATCCAGCTGAAACTTCTAGCTACCGTTCAATAAGTTTGCTTTCTTCAATGAGTAAACTTTTCGAAAAAAAAATTTAATAGAATGATGCTTCACCTTATTACGAACTCGATTTTTGCAGATGAGCAGTT